TACTGTTGTAGTGGATGTCCACTTCAATTGTGTGTTTGATTTCATTCAGTCGATTATCATTATGTCACTGCACTTGCCTGACATTTTAAAATCAGCCACGGTGCCACTCAGTTGATCCCACTGTGTAGACAGAACATATAAATTTCATACACATCAGTACATGACAGTCAGTGTCAAAATTGGGGAGAAAGAGTGTGCATGAACGACATGCGATAAGTTGACCCAACGCCAGAATCAAACAGCGCAACCTCTGTTGTGGTTCAATGGTATTTGCTAAAACCGCTAACCTGCAGGTGCTCTTTATTCAAGGTAATAATAAGATGTTGTTATTTGTGTTTTGATAGGGCTACAAATTCAATTGTGACTAATTAAGCCATTGCTCTTTGTCTGAGGATGTCAGACATGACAGATAACTATGAAATGACTACGTCCTTGTCACTGATCATTTGATGAGGAATAAAAACATTGTGGCACAGTTTTGCTGCGAGGGCAAGTGGCTTTACTTCCTCATTCTTCTGAGTATGTACCCCTAATGCACTTACTGTAAGTCGCTTTGGATAAAAGTGTCAGCTAAATGACATGTAATGTAATACGGTCCACAAACCTCAATGCTCTGTAAAAATTGCGTATTTATAATACTTGTTTTGATCTTGTGTTTTATTACGTTTCTTGTCAGCACCCCACGCTGCTGTAAATCCTGGAAATGTATCTTATCTTATCAGGATGTGTCGAGATGATAGAACATGAGAACGCTTTCTGATTTGTTCAAAGGGATCTCCAAACAAAACATTAGGGTTAAGTTTCTGAATAATACTATTTATTTTTGACCTCACAATAACTTGACAAAAGGAGCCATATATCTTGCTGTCCCCATATTCAGCACAGATGCTTCTAAATAGTAAACTTCCACAATAGTGATGGGTATAAAATAAAGGAGAAATTAAATCTATAAATGAATACAGGTCAATGTGTGTTTATATTCCTCCTCACCTGTGACGGTTCCAGCTGATCCATGTTGCTGAAGTGAATTCCCTCAAATATATTTTTACGATAGGTCTACCTGTACTTTACTTACATTCTCCAATGTTTCTTCTGCCTCGTTACAATGCTTCTAATACTTAATAGTGTACAATGCTTACTCCATCATAATGTTCCCACCGGGTCCGTTCTGTTTGAATCATACATACTTTACTTCAGGTACATTTGACAGTAGCATTACTTGTAATACAGTATTTTGACGCTGTTGTTTTGCAACTTCAACTTGTGTCAACACTGACGGCTTTATCTATTCAGCAAATTCACCAACATGATCATCTAAGCAATTAAAGTGAGGACCAGATCTCGTCAAGAAACCACTTATTTAAGTTTCAAGTTGAAACAATCACTAGTCCACTTTGTTTTTCTTGATCAGCGGCAGCGAGGAACAATTTATTTAAGGTCCTTGGCAGACACAGCAAAGAACTTCTGCTTCAGGGAGCAAAAGTTCAGGGATAAAGGGGATCACTCAGGAGATTACTCCCATGTTCATAACACGGATGCCCAGAACACAAAGAGCATTATGTTGCTCAGCTTTATTTTAGCGTGTTTGTGTGAGAGCGACTGCTTTGCTGATCTTATCCTCACCCGTTGTCTTTTAAAACACCAAGTGAAGTTAAGCTCAGTTAGTTGTCTTTGTACATATCTCCCTGCTGCCAAATGATTCTCCTTTTAGCTGTTTGTGTGAAACATCCTTTCGTTTTTTCATGCCTGTAGTCAGGGCAGTGTTTTTCAATCAGATTAGTGCAGCACATTCTGTTCTGTTTCACTTCCTGATGACTGTGCAGCCTGTATCCCTGAATGAACTCACCCGCATGCTGCCGGTTACACAAGACACTCGGAAAGACGTATTGTTGACACTGATCAGGCAGATTTTAATACTTCAATACTTAGTAAAAAGCCAATCATTGAGAAAATATCATGTTTAGTGGTTTAATAAAAAAATAGCAACTTTTTATTGGTTATTAAGCTATTTCTAAGAGCAAACAGGCCCTTGAACTCAGAACACTGTCAATAAGTACGTAAATGTGTTGTTAATATTTATACTAAACATTTCCAAACTGCTGCTTTAGACATACACGTATCTAATTGTCCTGTTTTCTACCCCGTTGCTGCTTTCACCACAACAGAAACACAAGGTGGATGATCTTTCAGTAAGGAGGACAACATCTCAGGTTGTGTATCAAAATAGCTATTTATTCATTCAGTTCGGTTCAGCTCAGGTCAGCTGACTTCATCTTTGACCTCCATTTACGCATAGGAGACTGAATGAAGTGCCAAGAAAGCAACCAGGAGACCACGGGACAGTCGAGGGTTTGGCAAGACAAACAAGCCTCCGCCTGAGCTGAGGCCTTTATTACTTATTGTTAATAGCTTGGGTGGTCGTGTTTTTATCTTTTTAATGTAGAAGATATGTTCTAGCATGAGGAAAACCTATAACATCTACGAAAAATGATCGCTGAGAAGATTACTCAGCCGGTTGATAACACCCCCCCCCCCCCCCCCCCTGGGGTTGCCCCCCTCCGGGTATGTCCCCCTTAATAATAACAGGATCCCTGTGTTTCTCTTTAAAAGCTCCCTTGCTTTGTTTCAGCCGCGTGGTTAGACAGTGTCCTCCCCACCTCTGACTGCAGTTAGAGTTTAACCCTTCTGAGCCCCTTGATTCCAAGTTGTAAGAAAGATAGACTCACACCAAGAAGCTATGACACGTTTTCGTGTTTCCATGTAAACAACTGCTTAACATAAAATAGAAGTATTAGCTATAAAACATGATGTCCATGGCAAACTTCGGACATAATCATATATATACCAGTTCCTTCAACCCACACAGGCACAGTCATAAAGTCTGCTTTTATGACTTTTATGGAAGCCCCCTTACCCCCCCCCCCCCCCCATGTCTTTGTCTTGCGTCAGTGAAAGCCAGAGAGCTTCTCAACCTGATTTTGAAGTGATGCCCTTTATTCAAACACAAAATCTAATTTAATTTAGTTTCGCATTATACTAAATCTGAGAACTTGTGCCTCTGAACAGGTTTTTTCAAAACCCACATCTAGTCTTTTAGAAATATCCACGGTTAACTACACTGGGATGTATGGACAACACTCTGGTCGAAGGTGTTTTGATCAGATAATTTACCTGCTGGAGTCAATGACCCTCGGATCATGTGAGTAAAAATACTCATAAGCGAAAACACCTGGACCAGGCTTAATACTTTAACTTGGGGCTGATATCCTTTACAAGAAGAGAGCTTTACTTTGAATTGTATTCCCCTGTTAAGTCTAATGATTGTACGCCTTGGTTGAAAATAAAGTAAGCAAGGGAAATGAATGTGTTACAGCGTCTACAAAGACCTATTGATCTGCTGCTTTATACATTTCAGAGAAAAACATCCTACAAAACAGCTGTACTATTGTCTTTGTAGATGAATATCTGACTCGCTCAAACAAAGCATTACACATCACAATAAATGACGTTGCATAACACTTTAAATGACGATTTCATGCACTAAGAGGGACTTCCCAGCTAACAGGAAACTTCCTGGAACTTCCCCAGAAGGGTCTCCTTAGCTGTAAGCGTTGGGGACTAAATAAACACATAAATCACTCATTAATCAAATTATTACGGCTGGCTTTAACGAGAATAAAATTTAAAAAAAAGCTACTCAGATTGCTTTTCAAATACGGCATCTAATTCTCAATGTTATCATTCGCCTAGAAAACGTTGAAGTGCTCAATAGAGTTGTGGAGGGCCTTCTGTTTGCCCGATCAATAGCTCTTACCGGCACGATAGTGATATGGTGCGTGATTATTTGACATTGTAAGCCTGCTTGTTCCCAAACGCTGCTCGCTCCCACGCACGTCCAGAGAGACTCGCGGTCAGATGGCCTCGTTGCCACCGCAACGGATCGTCGATGAATGAATGGAAAAGTGCAAAGCTGATTAAGATACGCGGAGATGTGCGTGCTTTCATTTGTGTGTGGCCAGGTGCACGAGCCAGGAGAGAGCGGTATTAATAACACGGGGCTAGTTACAGTTAGGACACAGCCTCCTACTTCTAAACAGCCGTAGGGCTTTTTTCTTTGCAGAATAAGATTGTACATGCGGCATTAGAGCATGCAAAAAAATTATAATCTTCCCCACACTAGAGAACGGGCATAGGTTTATCTTATAAAATGTTTGGCTTTCCATCTTCTCCCCCAAATTAAAATGATTACCTTACTTTTAATTGCAATCATTAATATAGTTTCCTACTACATTTATTTAGCTTATTTAATTTGGTATTAAAATTCACCCTCGGGTTTATCGTCATGCCGTTGCTACTTTTGCACAAATAACTATTTTACTTGTTCCACGACTGTAAACATCGCATTAATGCAAACTCCGGTTATTGACAAATCATCACAACAGACACAAAATTAGCACCGGGCGGCGAAAAACAAACCGCAACAAATACCCGTATTTGTCGAAATCCCTACCTTCAAATAAGTAAAACAAAACGAAACAGCAAAGTCGTATTATGGTGTGAAAATCCCCCCCCCACCCACCCCCGGTGGACTAAAATAACAAGGCGGGGTTCAGGCGTCTCTTTCTACGGACCCGGTAACGTGTCTCGGCGCGCGCGTGTGTGCGTTTATTTTGTATTTCCGCACATCTCGCCGGCGGTGATTGACGCGGCTCGGCTATTACGCGGCAGCGTGTTGACGATAAGTGTCGTCAGCCGAGCGGAGAGGACAGTCTGCTGCGGTACACGCTGTTCTCGGCCTGGCTCGGCACGGAACGGGTTACAGGGTCAACGCGTATTGGAACACGGTGTTCTCGTCAGCGGAGATACATCTACAGTACAAGCCGGAACATTGTGTTACTTTGTGGCTGCTTTCCGAGACCTGCCCCCCTCCGCTTTACACTAAAACGCCCCTCGCACAACTCCCCCCCCCCCCCCTCTCTCTCTCTCTCTCTCTCTCTCGTGTGTCTCTTAACCTCTCTCTCCCTCTCCAGTGTCATTTTGAGGTCTAGGATCCATGTGGCTGCTTCACTAGAGAGAGAGAGGACAGGGCTGAAGGGAACACGGGACATAAACAGCGTGACATAAGGACCACATGGACGGGACATTTAGTACCCTGGATGTGAGACGCGAGGGGCGGGCTTGAGACCGGGAGGTAAAGAACGCGGCGAGAAGAAGAAGAAAAGAAATACATCGACTGTCTGCGACAGAACTACATAAAGGAGCGCACAAAAAAAGAAATGTGAGTATTTTATTGTTATTATTATTCCGTTTATTCTGCTGCTTCAATGATTTCATTGATTTGTTGATGCATTCAAGTTACCGGCGTCCTGGTGTTTTCTGGTGGCTGAGTAGAAGGAGACACTTGTTATACATAAAAAATGTTTTTGATGAAACAATAAAATAATCATATAAAAATAATAATAAACAATTAAGGTTGTCTGACTATAAACTGTTCTAGGGTGTATGTTGAATTTGTCACACATTCGGGAGCGTTTGAGATTGCAGCTGTATCCCACTGTACACTGGGAACTAAGGGCTGATAAGACTCCCAGTCTATGTGTGTGTGTGTGTGTGGGGGGAGGGGGGGGGGGGGGGGTGTAATGTGGCACTTGGGTGTGGTTTCCAATGGAGGTGCCGACAGTTTACATCCAGAATCCCTTTTTGGCGTCTTGTCGTAGAGTGAAGGTTTGTAACACTCCTACTGAGAATGGGTGACATCAGGCGTAGTTCATTCAGTGCTGATCCCTTTCTGCTTTGGGAAAAAATTGTACGTTACAGGACACAATGGTGCCATCTCAATAACCTGCTTTAAATATCTGGATGTTAACGTACATGACGTGTTTCAGATTTGCATATGGCGGGGTGAGGAAGAGTTGGCCTGCTGACACGGACACGGGTTGAGACAGCTTCCCAGTGATGAATCACACTGCTTGAGGCAGATCTATAAATTGCTTGTTGTACAAATACACTTTAAGACACTTAAGCACGGGGTGATTATGTTCTTTAGCTTTGCCTCATGAAAACATTTCATCTCATTTCACAATAAGTAAATATGCAACTGTACAGCAGCATTCTTGAAAAGTCATCTCTATCTTTTCTTTCATACATTTTTATAACTCCGTGTCAGGTTTATAAATGATCTCCCATTGCCATACAATGTGGTGCCCAGGATGTGGCTCTATGGGATGTGGCTCCGCGTTGTGCACAGGGTGTGCTCGCATGTTTACGTATGTATGAATCAGCAGCAGAGTACCGGCGTGAGACAGAATGTACAGATACGCCGTGTGCATCTGTGCTCTCTGCCCCATTGCATTCGGTTCCTGCATTCCTCCGCAAGTGAGTTTAGGTACATGTAGCCTTCATGCCATTTTATCTGTGTCATAACTATTTGCTGTTGGATGTTACATAATACATTCTTTTATTCAGGTAAAGCAAAAAGTTCTATCTTGAAATCTGTGAAATGAATATGTGTTAATTATGGGAATTTAATAATAATTTTAATCGTCACACCACAACCCAGCCTGCTTTATTTACGTTTAAATTGTGTATTAATATAAATTATCAATTTGAATGATTTACAATCAGCCTATTTTACCTAAGTTAGGTCGTACGTGAGGGGCTCTCAGATTGGTGAACACCGTCCGGCTTTGCCAGCGGGGACCCGTGAATAGAAGGAACATTGTGTTCAGACGCACACGCAGCCCCCCAGTCCCCCCCCCCCCCACACACACACACATGCATGTGAAACGAGTTACACCTCATATGAAATGTCAAATAAATAGGATGAGGTGTTGCCGCATAAGAGATGGAGATTTTGTTGAAGAGTTCGATGTCACTCGATCAATTGAAGGAGCAGAATAAATTGAGCAGATGCCGTTGAGACAGATGTTTATGGTTTTACCCAGTAGGTCGAATAACACGGGTGCCCACTGGCTTGGGCTGTTACCGTTGCTATGTGTTAGTTCTCGCAAGGGAAAAATCAGCTCAAATCTATCAATGAGTTTATTTTCAGATTCAGATCATGGTTGCTTAATTTTCAAACGTGCAGGATCAAAACTGCTCAGAACGTAGTCAACACGGCACAATATCCTAATATTTATACATGCTCATCGACGGCCTCCGGGATGTTATTAGACTACAGGAACAACTGGCGGAAAAATCTAGGATTGATGCAGAGAACTGCTGGTCCTCTTAAATCTGAAAACATCTCTGGGGAAACGTCAAGAGGCCACAAGACGGCCTTCTGATCGACGCCATGCAGAACATACAACTCATACTGTCTTTATGCTATAATCGGATTATATTCAGACAAATTTTCTTGCCCAAGCAGCCAAGAGAAAAAGAACACTACCTAAACCGGTCCGATTGTTACATGATACCCAGTGCAGGAAGCTTGAAAGTTAAAGTCAAATAAGATGTGGTAAAAGAGATATCTTTATTTATATAGTTCTTCACTAACATATCTTATCCCTGGTGTTTCACCAGCATAAAACCAACAATTCAACCTAAATCCCTTTGTGCTAGAAATTTGTATTTATACTTTATCTGTCTTTATTTATACTTGTTGGTCAGTGTGGAAAACCCACGCACATTTTTCTTGTATGTACACTCTTATGAAAAAAAAATCGGTTTAGAAACATTTGAGGCCTGTATTGTCTTTATCCCTCTCAAACTGATTTAGGTTTCAAATGTTTCACTTTTGATATAATAAAGTTAGAAAAGGAAATTAATGGGAAATCCGTGTCCCGAGAATCCAAAAAACACTTCTTAGCCAGATGTCAATCGGACTAAGAAGTGTTATAATAATATTAATACGTATAATAATTATGTTATAATAATTATGTTATAATAATCACCAAGTAGTGTTTGAGGACACCCAGTCAAGATAATTCCACCAGGACAGACGGAAAAATGGGTAAGCATGCTCGAGTCCACGTTTACGCATATGAGACTTTCAAACCAGAAGGTTAATGTTCAAATCTTAAATGCAAAATTAAGTAAAAATATTGAAACAAAGGGCCGGGCTGCAGATTTTATTTAGGTGTCCGTAGAATATAATGTAATCTCTAGGTTGACACAGAGCACAAAATGTCTTAAAATACATTGACGGAGGAGAGCACCACGCTGCTGCCTTCAGTTTTATATTTATGTCATTACTTCATCTGTGGGGATCATACAAGGTGCCGTACAGACAAGTGATATCACAACTGAGATGCAAAGTCATGTCCACTATACAGCTGCGATCAGTCTTACTGTGGCCTTTGCAATGAAACGGTCAACATATTGTCCGTATAATACGTGTTCCTCGAACACGTTTCCTTAAATTTCCACAAGCAGTACCTATATTGTGGATTCCTTGTTTTTTTTTGTCAGAGCCTAAGACTTTTTATGTCAACAAATGAGACTCATTTCACGAGCGAGTTTGTCCCAAGGCGAAAACACGAGACATAAGGACACGGTGTTTATGGCGCCGGGGTTGTTAACGCGTATGGCCTGTGTTCATAATGTTTACAGCGTGACCGTGTGATGCCCACACGCAGAAATGACCACTGATCAGGATCTGACTATGGATGGCCAGTCGGCCGCGGCCGTGTTTGCTGCAAAGGGCATTGATGTGACAACCACCAAAGACAGAGGAGTTATCAAGGTATTTATTGCCATTGCTGTAGATTTGAACGTTTCGAACCCCGGGCACGGTCATACCTTTTTTATGAGAATCTCCGTGTTCTCCGTTGAAAAGATGAACCGGAAGCCTTTCGTTGTGCTTGCAGGTCGTGAAGCATCAGGGGCTCAACGGAGAGAGGCCGATGATTGGGGACAGAGTCACTGTCCACTACACTGGAAAGCTGCTCACCGGGGAGAAGTTTGACTGCAGTCGAGATCGGAAGGAAGCCTTGTGCTTCAATGTGGGCAAAGGTAGGCGACTTAGTGCGTTAATGTCATATAGTTCCTTAGTGTTGTATATTGCCTAAAGGAATAGATTTGTATTTGTGGAGGTGCACTTACTTGCTGTGTGGGTATTAACACCTGCATCCACTTACCAGCACCGCTAAAGCGGACCAATTAACACTTTATACCTTGTTTGTTGCAGCCATAAAATAAAATGAGTAAAAACAACAAGATGTAGTTAAACAGAGGCCTCGTGCGTCAAACTCTCTCTTCGCTTTAGCTTCATGTTCATCAGTCTTCTTTTAAAAATCTCATCAAGTACGCAAATAGGCGCAATATCCCGAATGTCAAACTATTGCTCATCCTTGTTATTATGTGTCTTTATCCTCTCACAGGACAAGTGCTTAAGGCCTGGGACATTGGTGTGCTGTCCATGCAGATGGGCGAGGTGTGCTCCTTCCTGTGCAAACCAGAGTACGCCTACGGATTTAATGGAAATCCTGAAAAAATTCCTCCCAACTCGTTAGTTGTGTTCGAGGTGGGTGTGACCTGTCAGTGCCGCCTTTTGTGCCACGCATTGTTTCTTGCTTCACACTGAGTGATGCAATTCACTTCCTCAACAATTCCTCTGTGTCGGTTACATCAATTACAATTATAATTCGGCTCTGGGAAAAATTAAGTCTTCAATGCAATTGCTCAGTATTCGGATTATTATTCACTAGTTTTTAACAATATTCCAGTAACTCACCCTACCTAGCATTTATAAACAGTATATACACATTAGAGCATTATATTATTATGTCTCTTCTCTTCTTTTTTTTTTAAATTTCCATGACTTTATATTTCTATTTGTGCAGAGCAATCGTTCAACAATTGAATTAACGTTTAAAATTGAACAGATGGAGCTACTCATGTTCGAAGGAGAGATTCTCACCGACGATTCCGGCATCGTGAGAAGAATAAAGGTCAAAGGTGACGGTTACACTAACCCCAACGATGGCTCACGCGTTGAAGGTAAAGACATTCCTTTCTTTACGGATAATTACTGATATTGCACCAAATGACCAGCACTTTATAGTACTGCCTCAGAGGTTAAATTGTGTCATGATTTGTGTGGTTGGACCAACAGTGCACCTGGAGGGAAGGTGTGGTGGTCGACTCTTTGACTGCAGGGACGTCAGCTTTATTGTCGGTGAGGCCGAGGATAAAGGCGTTCCTCTCGGAGTGGACCGGGCCATGGACAAGATGCAGAAAGGAGAGTGCTGTTCACTTTACTTAAAACCAAAGTAAGTGCTGCATTGTTTCAAATATGCACATGTAAATGACGTGTTTTAAGCACTGAACGTGAGCAGTGGAAAGATGTTTCCCTTTTACATAATTGCAATTTAAGTGATTGTCTGGATTATTATATGACTATTACAGTATTACATTTCACCAGTAGCATGTATTCAATTTAATCACAAGTGGGATTTCCCACACTACAGTGTAAATGTCAAATGGCTTGAGTCGACTGTTGACGGTGCAATCTTTGTACTAAGTTTCTTTTTTTTCTATACAGGTATGGGTTTGGAAGGGAAGGTAAACCTGAGTACAAAATTGGACCAGACTCAGACATTATATATGAAGTAACACTCAAAAGTTTTGAAAGGGTAAGTTCTGCTTTTTAATAAACCGTGACCATGTGTGTTTTTTAGCATAAACACGCACACTTTGAGTAGAGTTCAATAAGTCCTGCTGCATAGTTCTAAAGATAATTTCAGCTGCCACCAAGACAGTGAAAACAAAGATTTTCTCCCTTTTATTTCAACCTTGTCGTTAACTTTGTTTCCACAAGGCTAAAGAAACCTGGGAAATGGACTTGCCTGAAAAGCTAGATTTGGCTGCTGGAGTTAAGCATAAAGGGAATCAGTATTTTAAGGTACACTCCTCATGCTAATCTTTTTGTCCATACAGATTAACTGATGGTTTCTCTGTTAACATGTTCATGAAATGCCATCATCCTGCTGTATCAGGGAGGTCTGTACTACCAGGCAGTCATCCAGTACCAGCGGATCATTTCCTGGCTGGAAATGGAGTGTGGTTTCGGGATAGAGCAGCAGAAGAGGATACAGTCATTCCTGTTGACGGCACACCTCAATTTAGCACTGTGTTTCCTGCGGATAAAAGACTTCTCACAAGCCGTGGACAACTGCAACAAGGTGAGCCGCCGCGAGGCCCTGCTGATATTTGTGTTTGATATTAGTGTGTGAACGCGGTTTAAAAACTCCTTGTGTGTTTAAGGTGATTGAGCTCGACAAGAGCAACGAGAAGGCCCTGTACCGCCGCGGGGAGGCCCGCCTGCTTCGTAACGAGTTCCCCATGGCCATGGAAGACTTTCAGCAAGTGCTGCGAGTCAACCCCGCGAACCGAGCGGCACACGGGCAGCTTTTGCTCTGCCAGACCAAGATTAAGGAACATCATGAACGGGACAAGAAAACCTACGCCAACATGTTCCAGAAGTTTGCAGAACGGGACACAAAGGTCCGTGCGCTCACTGGCTAAATGCAGTAGGCAGTTTGACGTAAGATCATTTAAGATTGGCAATTATCTAAATCAAGGAAGTAGTTACACCTCAACATTCATCTTCTTATTTTGGAGAGCAAGTTCTATTAATTTACCAATCCAGTTCTTTTGTTGATTTATGCAGGAGTATGTAATTGGGAAAATATTAATTATATATATATATCATTTTTTTTCTCCGTTTTTTAATATGATGTTACAAATGCTTTGCAAATAAAAAACAAAATTAAAACAAATGAGGTATAATATTAAGATTAAGGCCCACTGCATTCATTATTTTTAAAGTACAGAACAATGAGTAGTTTAGACTTAGATTAGGTTAGATATGTTGTATGTGTGATTTTTAGGAACTATGAGCCTTGAAATTTACATTGGAAAAATGTGACTGCCCTAGAATAGGTAATTAGTTTTGACATTTTTTTCAACTGTTGGTCAGCCATTTTGAGCATTATGAGCAAGAGTTATTAATACAATTAATGGAGGTTCATTTGCCAATACCAGCCTGATGTCCTGTAAGGTTAAAAATGTAAATTCATAACAGGATCCCAAATAACAACAATAGAGGTCATTAATGTTTTAGAAGGTTTCGAAGGTTTGAATTACTTTAGGAAAGTGTGACAACTTACTGTATCTGCGTTCTGTGCATTATTGTGCTTTTGTCAGTATTACGCTGACCTCTAGTGTTCATTTATGGATTTGTGGATTTTCTCGCCTCCTTAAAAAAGGAAATATAATCTGCAAAGAGTAAAAAAGACACACATCTTTGTTAAACCAACTTCCAACTTGTTAGTTTTTACAGTTTTGATTTGTCATGTAGGACACGGCGAGTCTTTGATGTTTGACTTTCACATCTTTCCTTATCAACAAGGCTTTTTTTTAAACAGCTGTTGTGATGTGTGTTTGATCTTCTCTCAACAGATTGGAAAGACGAAGAGGAGGCGGGACGAGAGCGCGAGAAGCGGCATGAACGGTGAATTGGGTAACAAGCGGCGGCGGAGGAGTCAGGACTGTCCGTCATAAAAGAAACATTGAAACGGGGAGAAAAAAAAAGACAAGTCCTTTCCAAGTCCAGGAAACAGGGGCAGAAAGGAAGGTGTATGAAAAGCCTCTAATCCAAACCTCTTCATCCCCAAATCCACTGTTACCCTTCCTGCATATAAAGCAGTAGAGTAAGCGGGGACGTTTGCAATCCAAACCACATTTCCTCTTGGTCACATGGTCTGTGTAACTGCCAGTACAAACCTCCGGACGGAATTACCACTGCGGAATCACTCAGTTAAGATTGTTGCACTCTTCTGGCCTCAATCGTTTATTTCTTTAAAAATACAGAGCAATTCTATTTAATTTGTCATTAGGCGACACTGTAGAGTTCAGATTTGCCTCCACAGTGTGGTTCATATTCCCAAACTGTATGTGCTGGTTTTCATACCTCTGGCTTATATTTAGTATTAAGCCTCTTCTCGGGCAGCTGCATGCATGCATCACGAGGTGTTTGGGAATCAGACTTGAATTTTTGCAATATGGTATGTACTTTGGATGAAGGGCATTTTGAGTACCAGAAGCTCAGTGGTATTTTAAGCTTTTCCTACAAAAGTAAGGCAAACTTTAATTTAATAACTATATATATATAGTATATATATATCTATATATATATAGATAGATATATATATATAGATATAGATATATATATATTTATATAGATATATATTATATATATATATATAATATATATATTATATATATATATATATTGCCTGAATTCATACAAAGAAATTTGTTACAAATCCAGAACTTAAAATCAGTTTTTCCTCCAAGCATGAAACTCTAATATTGCTTTAATCACCAGTATAAACATCAAGTTTCTGATGATTAGAGCGTAGAATTTGAAACAAGCACAAACTACAGATACTAAATTATACCAAATCATAACGGTTTTATTCTGGCATTCAGGCAAAATCACACTTTACTTGGTTATTGTTAATCACAGCTAAATGCATATTACTTAATAAAATAAAATAAATAAATAAAATAAATAAAAATACAAAATAAAATATATACTACAAAAGCATATATATATATTTATATTATTATATATATAATATTATATATATATATATATATAATGTAATATCTCTGCTCCCGAGCTTTGGTGGATTTAAGAGATTGATGACTTTCTCATTTTACTCATTGTTTGTTTCTATATCAGCTCATTGCGTAAACAAGCATGGCACAGTCCTCCACACACGTAACATCTTCAACTAACAGATCATCAATAATCCTCATAATTAAGATGATAACTCCTCCTAAAAGGAGGCATTTGATCATAACATCCCCTCCATTCACACCTGTGTTTGGCAGAACAGATGCGCCCTGTGAGTGCAAGTGGGAGAGGGACACAGAATCCACAATAAGCTTTAAAACCGCCGGTCTGATCTCTCCGAAATGTCATAAGATCTCAACTCTGATGATGTGATTACCTACAACATTTTACATCTGTGTAGGTCTTTTTGCCTCTGTTCCGAGACTGGTGTCTCTTTATTTCAGTGCATCAATTTCATTTTTAATTTTTTGTATTTTCAATGTGTGAACAGTTTTTCACATTGGTGACTGTCAAACCAACACTGTTATCTATTCATCGAATGTCTCGATACGTTCTTGACAATAATCTTAAGATGTTTTATAAACATCGGTTGGTTCAGAATGAAAACCTTAGCTGTCTTAAATATTTTGTGTAAAAAAAAATCCACAGTGTATATGTGTGTTAATATATATTGTTGTATATTAGCGAGGTTGTTAAACGGCCGATTGCTTTATGTTGTGTACTGCTAAACATTCAAACATTTTGTACAGTGGAAATGAGCATGAAGTAATTTTTTCTAGCAATTATGAATTGCATTTAAGCATATACAAGGTATATATCCCTTTTTGTCAACCACAAAAAGATTTCCATAGTGCTACATTCATTTTTGATAACTTGACAGGAATAAACTGGGAAAAACTACCACAGAAGCAGGGGAAAATGCAGCTGGTCGAACTGCAGCACTGCCAATGTGAGATTGAATTAAAACTGTCGTATAAAATGTTTACATGTATTCAATTGATCTTCACCCTATGAAACAAAATTTGATTAGCATATTTAACCTGCACTTATGCCAAACTAATATTTTCTGACAAAATATTACAAAAGGTACTTTTGTTCATGTCTTCTTTATATATATTTTTTGTATTTCTTTTGCACTTTAAAAGCATAAAATAAATCCAGAGTTGCATAGAAAATTGTTATTCTTGATTCTTGAGTTATTGGTCACTATTTGTACAGTGTGGGGTTGGTTATCTTTAATGTTTGCTTTTGACACTACCTGTATCATTATAAAAATACTTATGGTAAACCAACGTAAAAAGCGTCAGTATCAGGATAGCTCCACGCTTCAGCACCATCATAACCAACATGTTTGAATTTATGTTCAGACTCCAGTTAAGCCCATCGTGCATGGTGACCATCCATAACATTGGTTTACCTCATTTTCTCAAACCTGCAGGTGTGAATTTTCTGGCCACATGAGGGCATAAGAAACAAGTTGTGAACAGATTACACACCTTCAACTTTAAAGATGGTGAACATCATCTTTAATATAAAGTTTCCCCATTGTTTTAACCCTGTATTTCATCTCCACCAATACCCGAGGGAGGTATCTGGGGATTCAACAGTTAAATGCTCCATGATGTTTGTCCGCTGAGCAGGTACAGTGAGGGTTTAGAGCTTTTTCTGAGAATATTGAGGCAGAAAATAACGCGCTGACATGAGACCATTCTTGACTTTAGTTCTTCTTTGGAAACAGCAGTTTGAAAAACATTCTGGCATAAGGTCTTGAGCATTCAAGGTGATGGAGTTTGCTCGATAGTCATATAATTGTAGATATTCAAATGTCCATTAGTTTATGACGGTACAAGACACAATAGTTTATGCATTATGATTCCTTTATTGAAATCCAAATTTCCATCCATTTTTTATAGTCTACTCATAAAACAGTATTTCAATTAATATGAACTGCTTTATTGACACATTGTTGGTAACTAATCATTACAGTCTGTTTCTAAATGACAAACCAAAATCTTTATTAGATTAAATCTGATGTATTATCGGACTATTTTTCACCGTACAAGGTGTCAGTCTGTTAGCCGGAATAATAAAATCAAGTTAAAGAAATGTTCAATACTGATGAGCCTCCACCTTACGGAGGCCTGTCAATCAGGAATCAGGAACATTTATTACCAAAATATGTTAGACATAATACTTTATCAAATGAATACCAGGTGGCGTCATTTGTGAATATCTAAAAATGCCACATTGATTAATAAGATTCAAACCATGAAGTTTAACGTGTTGTACACCAGTTCTAGCATTCTTTCAATCATATAAACATTCATATATTTGTGTAATTATTATCAAAATGTCATACTACAGCATTTATGTGCTACAATAAGGACTAATGCCACAATAACCAATACAAAATTACATGAATATCAACCTTCACGTTTTGTATAAAAACTAGAATAAAGCTTAGAGTGGAGACTACAGTAAAAAATATAACTCTGCTGGAAATATACCCTTTGTGATTTGTTGCTCCGTGTGTCTCACTCACATCACTTCGATCACCAAAATCCAACTCCACAACGTTTGCTTTTAACACCCACCACCACCACCACCACCACCACCTTGTATGCCGAACTGTTTCCTATATCCATGGGGGCAGAGCGCCCAGTTTAGGTTGTGTTTTTTAGCAGTACTTGGCACAGGTAAAAAAAACACTCGGCACAGTTGGGCGGCTCACATGGCTCAGGTGCAGGCAGTGTCCAAGGTTTGAATCCCGCCCTTGTTGCTGGGGAACCTTTACTCTCTCACGCCCCTGTTTTAATTATATTGACCTACGTGTTCTTATCAGCTTGACTTTACTCCAGATGACCCAACCTGGTTAAACAAAACATTTGCAAAACCTTTTCTTTAAAAAACATAAAGGTTAGTGTTAGTTTCACAGCTGAAAAAACTAAGATGAATCACTTGATCAAAAGATTACTTATCTGTAACCAATGTAAGGATTCACAGTTTGTTATGAATTGTACAAACATTAAATGTAAATTATTTTTCTTGATTGTGATGTATGATATGATTTGTGATAAATGTGACAGCTGCATTTATTTTAGGAATGAAGATTGTGGACGACAGCAATGAATAGACTTGGCTTTTTTTAAGATGCCAAAAAAGATTGAAAACCTTTTCTTGAGTAAGAGGACTGGATTGAGGGCAGGCTTTCCCTCGTGCCCACAAAGGTTGGTTGTCTTCACTACGACACCATGTGGTCAGGAGATGAGGTCATGTCAAGCAAAACCAATCCTTTCTTGTCTGATTTGTCCAAAGAAAGGTCTTCATGTGGAGTGCATAAGATGGAGATCCTCTAACAAAGGAGAACATAGGTTTTAATAAAAAAAGAAAAAAAAACAGCTTGTTGGAGACGTGTGGAGCCATTTAGACACACAAACAGCTTACCTGTCGCAGTGTACCGGGAGTGGTGCTCACTTTGTATAACATAACTAGAGGAACCATGAGTGTAGAGGAGAGAGTGAACCACCAGCCGAGAGCGTAACCCCACCACGGGTACTCCACTGTGTTGTTGAACTTCAGAGGAGTGAATTTGACCAAGGAGAAAACAAATGTCCCCTGAGAATAGTGAAAGAGAAAGCAGGAGAAGTGTTGGTTAGAGACAATGTATGAAGAGTCAGAAATACTCGACCTTAGCTACAATAAAATAAAGGTGTGGTTTTAATAGCTACAATAAATAAATCAACCATGTAATACATATGAGTCAAGTGGGAATGAAACTTCTTTTAATGTCAGCACTGTTAATATTGTTTGTTGCAGCTATTTGTTTGCTGTTAGGATTTAGTTATTTATTCATTAGTAGTATTGTTTAATTACATTGTATGAAATACATCATCATTTCTGTTTAAATATATCATTTTCTGTGGTTATTTAGCTGGACGTAGATTTGGTTAGTTAGTTTGCTGTGGGCACCTGGAGGTTATTTCTAGGAGTTATATTTCTATATGTACACACACACACACACTTCTATATATTTATAGAAGTATAGGACCACGGAGCACCGCGGTGGGCCAAGTTTTTTTTTTTTTTACCAGAGCAGGAATTTGTTTTTCTGGCCAATAAATGTTAACAGACGGATAATCTTCTCTCTTGCCTGCGTCAAAGCCAAACGTGATGTGATGCATCCGTGGCCCTTTGATTCCTGTTTGTCTCGTAGTCTGAAGGATAAATAGCCACTACAGTGTTAACCAAAGGGGAAACCGTACAGTGGGTGTTACGCTCCCTTAACAACCCCCTTGTTCAGTACGGCCAGCTGCAACCGCTATATGATGGCAGAGAGATCTGTGTACTAACATGCAGCAACATGCACTGAAAAGCCTTTCCTATGTCACAAAGGACGGCACAGCTCAGGTACACAGTCCTCCACTTCATTTGCTGTTATTATAGAGTCTTAACAAAAAGGAGCTGATTTGGCCAGCATGCGTTTGAGCACCGGGCCTAAGGAAGGAATATAATAACTGAGCAAGTGAACTTTTTCTGCAACTCACCATGCATATTACTGGAGTGACGTATTTTATACAATACTTAATCAGAGGTAGCGGCTTGTATCCAATCATGTCTTCTATGTTATCATAAAACCGGTCTGCACCTGTAAGTAGATGGAAAAGCTGTGGTGAGTGATTTCGCTACGACAGTGAAGGAACCACGCACGCATTCCTTTTGTTTATTAACCCACCGTAGATCCATCCAACACAAACAGACTGCAGTATGGCAAAGAGAAGGAGAGTCATCCCACTGCAGGCATAGTAGTCAAACACCTGGAAGATGTACAGTCCGCCCTGCGTGCGAGACATCGGTCAGCTTGCAAACAAGGTTATTGAACAAGGAAGTGACGTGAGATTTTATCATGATCTTACATCTGTAACCATCACAAGTCCAATGAAGAAGCTGACAACAGCAACACCAAGTAGAAGAAGTTTACGTCGATGGCCAACATGGAAGAAGGAAGGATTTGTGTCAGAAATGGATGTTACGAGGGCTTCCAGACCTACAAACTGAAACACAGGGTTCCCGGTTACACAACTTTACATGTGCTGCACACAAACTGACAACTTTACAGAGATCTTTTCATCATAATTTGGTAAGTACCCAGAGAGTGAATACCTGGATCAATACTTTTATTACCAGTATCTGAATCCAGACACAGTGACAAAGAAAATCACCGGATTCATGAGCAAGATGTTTTTCTCACATCACATGATATTGATAAATGTTCTCAGAGTGTAGCATTTGTTGGCTATTTGCAAACAGACAAATAGATATGACCAAAATGCATCAAGAAGTAAGACATGAATCTCGGTTTCTGGCTGAGCCAGAAGAGCTTACCTCACTGTCCAGTCCCAGCAGGATGATCATAACAAAGAAGAATACTGCCCAGACCTGCGGAAAAGGCATCATGGCGACCGCTCGAGGATAGGCAATAAACGCCAAGCCGGGACCTGCAGTCACACATATACCAAATATCCCAATTGCATGGAGTTAAATGCATTTTGTGCTGTTGCTGACCTCCTAAAAATAGTAAAATGCTCATCAATTCCATGATATATTTACCAATAACATTTTCTATACTCTTACCGGACTCTGCCACTTTCGATATGTCTGTGTTCTGCTCATACGCCATAAAGCCAAGTGCAGAGAAGATGGCAAAGCCTGCAACAAAACTGGTTCCACTGTTCAGAAGGCACAAGTACACACAGTCCCTAAAAACAAAAACAAAAAACATTTTATACTGTTTTGTTAAATAGATCTATACAACTTTTACATGCCCAAAGAAAGCTTTATATGTTGATGGTAAGACTTAATGGAAATACTTTGTGAATGAAACATACTGAAAATCAATATGCTATTTTTGGTATAAGCTACACTTAATTGTTTTGGCCTAAAATGGGAATTCTAAGATGTTCTGGCTTTTTTTTTTTAAGTTCAATTACGTAACCCAAAATTTATACATATCAAATCAAACTTACTTGTAACAGTTGTTGTTATACTTGTTATAACTGCCAAGTGCAGTAAGACACCCAATACAAATAGCATAGGAATAGAATATTTGTGTGCCAGCGTCCATCCACACCTGAAAGACATTAAATAAACATTTACTGTGTGTTGCAACCCTGAAGTAAATCCGGACGGAACCACCTTCTTTCTTAAAATGCTTTACTCTGCAAGGCTCGAGAATGTAGACCACGTGAGTAGGTTTTGTTGACCCTGTTTGGCCCTCAACTTAGTCAGAGTTTTATATTTGGGTCTTCTTTGCGATTGATACCCTTGTACGGTGACCAATTCATCTCCTCAATTCCGGCATCCCTTCAACTTTCCACTAAAGTGTAGCTTATTTTTAGATATGTCCTGTTGTTTGTTCTAGCACGTCATTTGAGGTATTTCATATATACGTTTTAATTGAATGCTCTCATACAATGAAACCAAACACACGAATACAGATTTCTGTTACGGCTTAAAAAAGTAGTGAAAAGTGCTCATACCTGTGGATCAGACAGGCGGGATGGATCTGGGTAGAGGTAGAACTTAATCCCATTTATGGCCCCGGGCAACGTGACTCCCCGAACCAGCAGCACCACCAACATCAGGTATGGAAATGTGGCAGTGAAGTAAACTACCTTTTGAAGAATGAGGGTTAATTAATGGCAAAATTGTGGACTTTGATAGCTATGTTGACCGGATGGATATGTTTACCATCTTGTGGAGCTCCAGATAGGATATTAAGAAATGTCCTTGAATATTAATTTTGAGCCTGTTTTGAGCCAAATACCCAGAGCTTTTATTAAAGATGAATAATTAAGGAATCAACAACGTGATTAAAGTTAATCTTGAAGGGGACATCAACTTGTGCCCCAAATTTCATAGGAAGCCCCAAATGTGAACCAGACAGGGATCCTACAAGTCGAAGGACCATCAAAGTCATCAGTATCTTCGCAAATTTGACAGTAGAGGTTGAGGTATTTTAATCTGGATCAAAGCAGGGTACCAGCTGTCGGACCAACATCCCGGAGCAAAGCCTCCCTGACTGAAAATAATCCATGAAAATTGTAAAGAATTCATTTTGAGATGAGTGTAATTTAAGCTTACATCCATAAATCTAGAATCAAACATGAAATTTGCACAAGTACCTCATGGTTTCAGGAAATGGGTCCGGCAAAGCGATTAACAGACACAATAGAGTTGAGGAGAATTTCATTTAACAGTTTAAGAGTTGCTTGAATACAACATAAAGAACTAGTGAAGTCTTACCTTCCCAGTGGACTTCACGCCTTTCCAGACACAAAAGTAACAGATGATCCAGGACAGCAGAAGACACAGAGCCAGCTCCCATCGAACGCTGCCCAACTCATGAACGCTTCCCGTGAGATTAAGAACTCTTCTCCTGAAAATCAGTTACTTTGCCATTATTTATACATGTTGAAAACCCTTTGAGAACTTGTGTCATATTTTGATTTATTATTCAAACTCACTCCCAAAACTCTCTCACTGGTGACGTTGCATTTTCAGCAGCAGTCCAGTTCAAATAATCAGCTCTGCGATCAAACTCCACACAGGTGTCTGTTGAAAAGGAATACATGATGCTCTAAACAACGCATTGAAGGGCAACTCCACACATTATATCATTCTGCCTTTGGCAATTTTATTTTCTATACTTATTTAACGTGAAAAACTGAATGGGGGACCTTTCCAGATATGCAATATCAATTACTCAAATGAAAAGCAATTGAGCCGCACGGATGCATCTTGGTCTGCCGTTTAGGGTGAATAAAACAGTGTTTTTTCTGTAATTGTAGTTGGTAAGTAGGTGAATTGAAGATGTCCGCGTGAATTGCTAGACACCACGAATCTTGAATCTTTTGGAGCATCCTTGTAGTAAGTCTTGCCGGGTACGTGGGGTCGAGGGCGGTATGTTGGAATACGTTAAATGAGAACAGTAAATACAATTTTATGCTAGTTTGTAGATTCTGACGTTCATCTCCATTCACCTAAAAGCTTCATTAAATCGAGTTGGGATGGAGACTAGAAAGCTTCAGCACACACTCGCTGCAGAACGATGTTCAGCAGTTAAATGTTTGGAATTTGCTATATTTGCTGGAGGGGATCTTGCATACTGGGACAAACCTGTGTTCCAGTTGTTTCTGCAACTCGCCCAAGGAAGTTCGGAGTTGAAAGAGGAGAAGAGATACAGGAAAGCCCAGGCCAGTATTATGATGTAGTAGATGCTGGAGTATAAAACAACCACTATATTGCCATAACCCATCCCTGAAAAAAATCAGATAGAGACAAAAAGCAGTTAATTGAAAAAGTAATAACAATCTTAAGATCACATCTGGTTATAAATGTAAAATAGCTGAATAATGAAACTAATACAAGGGGATTGACATTGAATTATTAATGAAATGTTATAGTAATGTAGTTTAAAGAATGTCAGTGTCCTTTATTCACAGGTGGATACATAAAGTCGTACTACGGTACTTATTTCAAGTATTTAGCAGTGGAGATGCTCGGCGTTCTGTCCCCTGGGGATCAAGCATCTGTCTTGTCGTTAAAGACCGACCCGCTTTAGCCACTGATTTACTGCTGCCCAACAGCAATGTTGATGCTGGCAAGGCTGTTCTTGTAATGTTTTTTTACGGGTTTTACAGGTTCACCAAACCTGCTTTCTTCTAAAATATTATGTCAAAGTGTCACCCAAGTTTTCTCAGACCACAAGTTTGTTTTGGCAAAAGTGAGCGCACAAAAAAAAACCTTGCTCAATCACCATGCAGAATTTCTGTACATTGCTTGACCCGTACAGTTGTATATCCCACAACTTTCTTATTAAGAAAAATGTTTTTGTGAGAATTTGAGAAAAATATAACAGAGCTGAATATATTTCCAAATCAGGGGAGATAAACATGTTGGGTGTATATCACATTACTTAAGCAACCTTTTATAGTATTTATACATACAGAATAATGTTTTTTTTTAATATTCATAATGTGGAAAGGAAAGGAATAAGTTAATATATAATGTATAGAATAGTGATTCTACAACTTTACCTTCAAAAAGGGGACAAATTTTCCTCCAGCAGGTAATACTCCCCTGTTGGGTGAACTGGCCGAGTGACGTCTCCAGGAGAAACAAGGGTATGCCGCAGGTAAAGAGGAAGAGGATATAAGGAATGAAGAACACCCCTTAAAAAAAGGAGAAAGTTACACAACATCCATCCATCCATAACCCGCTTATCCTGCACACAGGGTCACAGGGGGGCTGGAGTCTATTCCTGCCAACTTCAGGCAATAGACAGGGTACACCTTGGACTGGTCGCCAGCCAGTCCCGGGGCAACACAGAGACACACAACTCACATTGTACATTCCACATTCACACTCACATTCACACAGGCAATTTAGAGTCACCAATTAACCTGATCCTCAGAGCATGTCTTTGGACTGTGGGAGAGAACGTGCAGATTCCACACAGAAAGAGTCGAGCCCGGGACCTTCTTGCTGTGAGGCAACAGTGCTGACCACCACGCCCAGTTACACAACATGAGTTTTTTATTTTTATAGGAGCCATATTATGCCCTTCTAATACAAGTTGATATTGGTATGCTGATATTTTTATCAGTAATAATTCAATACAGGAATCATTAAGAAGTTGTTAATGATTCCTGATGAAGTTGTTGTACTTATCCAGTGGTGGTTGCTAGACGTGCCAGACAGCCACATTATCGTGTAGATAAGTGGAATGTTCATAATACGTCCTCTTCTTGAGTTAGCTTTATAAACTGATATTCCATTTCTGGAACTGATGTTCTATTTCTGAATGTTCCATTTCTTCTCATTCTGGGCAGAGCCGCCCGTTTTGAGTTCATTTTTCTGAATGTCCCTGTGTTGTCTGGGGTTAGGACATTTCTTAACAGGCTCACTACTTGCAGAGCGTTTCCTCAGACATGTGTTGTCAAAACAAAAGTGGGTTTAGCCACTTGCAGCGGTTCTTTTTTTTTAATACTTGTTATCAAAGTGATAGAAATGTTTTTGTCATGCGCTTGTTGTGTCTGAAGTTGCAGCGACAGGAGCTCTTTTGACTTCTGTTAAACAAACTGATAGTTGAGTCGGTTGTTTAAATGTCTCGGTGGAGTGCGGTTAGTGTAATTAGACTAATAGAGTTAAAAAAGAAAATTAGAGTTAAATTTAGAAACTAATCGATGGCAGCTCAAGCCGGTGTGTTGTTACTCTTTAATATACTATATATACAAACATGCTTTTTAGAAAAACCTAAATTTCAGCTTTTAACAGTTCAGTTGTTTCTTGATGCAATCAAGTAGTGACCCAGGTGCAGTTGTCTTTTGAACATTTTTGCGGCAGTGTTGTTCCAAATTTCTTTGACCATTATGAAACTAACCTCCTCCGTTTTTGTAGCACAGGTAAGGGAACCTCCACACATTTCCAAGGCCTATGATTTGTCCTGCAACAGCCAAGAGGAACTCGACTTTGCTGGACCATTGTCCTCTGGCCTCGGTGCTGGGTGCAGCGGGGGCAGGATGGGCTGTGTCAGGATTCAGCATGAACTTGACCTCTGGACCGAAAGGCTTCTGCATCACACTGAAACAAGAGGATTAAACAAGATAAAAAATGTCACAATGTTCACAGGATGACAAACTACATTTCCAAAATAATTCATATTACTTGTGCATTTTTTTTTTGCTGAATCAACTAAAGACCCCTGTGTAGATGTCAATATGCACAAGAGCATGACCGCGGATATGATTTAATGGCTGTTTTTTAATGTTCGTAATCTACACAGTGCCAGTAGTCTTGGTGTATTACATGCGTTTGCAATTTTTCTATCAATGTTGCTTTTGTGTTGCTGCCTTGGATTCGAGTTGGAACAGGAAAATATGTGAAATGAAAAGTATCAAAGTCCATACAAGGAATTTCCTTTTCATTCCTCTAAAATGACTAATACAGAAATAGGAATAGCGGATAGGGACAAAGACAAGCTGGACAATAAATATTGTATGAATAAAAAAGAGAAAATGAAACCCTAAAATACAATTAAAAAAAAGAAAAATATATATAGTACTGGTAGTATCAGATGGAAAAAAAACTACATTACATCCTTAAAAGCTTGGTGTTATGATCCGGCTCAAAGGCCACAACAAATACAAGAAACGACGCTATAAGGATTATCAGCCAACAATTTTTATTCTCCAAATTAACCGATTAGACCACCGAAGCCCATTGTGCTGGGGAACAGGAGAAAGCCAGAAGTCACGCCCAAACACTCAGAAAGGGGCAGGTTTTAATGCGCTTAAGACAGTGGCCAGCTGCGTCTGATCTGCCTGATGGCCTCAGCTCCGCTCCACCAGGAAGTTCACCCTGTAACACACACACACACACACACACACAGAGACACACCCAAAAACACCCTGGCAGTGGCCCTGGGGCCGTCACACTTGGTTTCAACATGTTTAAAAGGAATCTGTTTGTGCTTTTTGGACGGTTTAATGTCCTTCATGCCCATTCCTGTTTGGAAAGGCTTCAATTAGCTGTGCTTTGTCACGCCAAACATTCTCCGGGTTCTGTGATAGCAAACCAAAAAGACAGTAAGTGTACGAGAAAGGAGACGGATAGGCGAAACTAACAAAACATTTCATGTCAGTTATTCAGAAGTTATAAGTATTTATGTTACGTTGTTAATGTTTTATTTAGTTTGCGAGGTCATGTATTTCGTAAACCTGAAAATGTCTTTATTCAAATTCAAACCGTTAAGCACATGTTTACTTTGAGGAAACATCAGTATGTGAAGACTTGGGATGAGAATGTTCAGCTCAATAATTAGGATAGATATATTCAAAATACAGAGTACAAAATAGAAGAATGACCACATTTGTAAAGACATTTTAGTGGGGTTTAACCCCCACTCCCCTCTGAATGATGATGCGCCTACTGGAGGGATTCGTCCCCTTTGTATGAAGTCTTAACCCGGCAAAATACAGTGCCACTGGCCTAGAAATCAATCGAGCGACAGCATAATGCATAGCTGTCATGTTTTCAGCTCATGTCACAAATGGTCATTGTTTTCCTTCAGGACAACACCCTATTTGAACAGAACTGCTTAACACAAGAGCACGTTTGCTCACAATGGCTCTCTTTCATTAATATTTGGTCAGAAAAGTGTGCAAATTTCAAGAACTACACTGGTTAACAAACAATTTAGTGGTTTATGTAGATTATGTAGTTTTAAACCGCATTAATACATTATTCTTTGGCCTTTTTCAGAAAACAAGACCACAATCCTCAATAAATCTGACATGCTTTGGAAGAAGATATTTTGTATTTTGTGTTCTGGGCTGTAATGTGCAGGAGAGAGATCTCTGGGTTCTAGGAATCGTTGGTCGTTGGATTAATCTCTACAAACCATCAAACGTGTCATTGGCAAACACACACACACACATACACACCTTACACTGGGTTTCATTACTGAAGCCACGGGCAACTTTGTGCGTATACGTTTGTAGTGCTGTCTCTCTGTCAGAACCCCACTGAATGTGCTACAAGGAACACTGGAAACTAAAACCTGCTCAGAATTATAAGGGTTAAAGGACGCACAACTTTAGGAATGTAAACATGATTCTTAACACGTGCAATGTCGAAAAATGTTCACCATCTTCGTTTTGCATGCAGGTATTTTGTCATGACATTTGTCTTGTGTTGAAATGTGGGCCTGCGGTTGGCAGAAAGATGAAAAGTCAGACACAGAGTTCACATATTGGAAAGGAGACAAGATTCAGCATTTCACCCCAATCTAACAGTTGTTGGCGCATTCCAGGCAGGAACAAAGTGGCACACCACACTTCAGTCACACCTCTAACAAGGCTCCAAAACAGTGTTACATAATAATAACGGTTAATTGCACCAGACTGACTGTAGGAAATTCCCATCGGAATTGAACCGCTAATGTTCATCAAAAAACCTTTGAGAGGCAAGAGGCATGCTGAGATTTGAACAGGCCTGATCCATACTGAAAAGTTAATAACCACCATGTGAAAAAGGAACAAACCACTCGTGGGCCAAGACACCCTGCTGTCAACAATTTAGGCTTTTTTTCCTTCTCAAAAAACCGCTCACATAATATCTGCTTTACATGTGAGCAAACCGCAGCAGTGTGAGGAATAGTTGTTAGTCACTTCTGACCGACCCGTTTCTTCTTTCATCCCAGTCCACCATCAACAGGGAGGCAGTGGCTCAGCGCTAAATCATTTGTTTTGATTATTTGACCATCCAAGACCAGAAAGAAAAACCCTCCATGCTTTTTATTAATATCAATATCGCTTAGGACTTTATTTAAAAATATATCATTGCTATTGATGCATGCGCATATCATCTTTTTAACACAATCATAGCAAGGAATTCAATGATTTAATATCAGTTTAACTGTAAGTGTAATGCTGTCAAACTACTTAAAAAAGACAAACGCTGGCTATTTCTATTTCACTCGTGAGCTTTCGGCAACGATCAGAGAGAAACCTGTGAGCAATGTGTCACACTAAACAAGGGAAATAGCTGCTATGTGTGCAGCATAGCTGGTAACCTTTGGCCTACATAATACAGCTACAGGCAGCAAGCACAAGTGCAACCACAAAAGCCCAGCTGTCTCTGAACTGGAAGGATTCCATTGGTTTCCTGTTCGAGAAATCATTCCAAAGTAGTTTACACTGACTGTATGAACAAGGGTAAATGTAATAAAGACAGAAAAACCTGCTTCTGACCTGCCGGTTAAAGGCGATTGGTTAATAGTACCTGAGAAAAGTTGCTCCTCGTCTTTGGTTATCCCTAGGTGGGAATCATCCGTTGTCTTTTGAAGAAAGGTCCCCCCGTCTCTCGAGGAGAAGCGCTGTTCTCAGCTCTGACCATGAGGGAGCCCATGAGTGTCGGTGTGGGAGCTCTGTATTTGTATGACAACAAGGGCGAGAGAGCGCGTCAGAGGGGCGGAGGGAGAGGCGGGGCCACGTTTCTGAATGAGCAAGTTGAGGCGGGGAGGAGATTTGCACGGTGGCAGGCTGGCTGCGCGGCCCTGTGGGCATTGATGTGTAGTCATCATGCTCCACACCTTTTACGCTCCAGATAGAAAAATCTAAATAAACGTTATCCACAGATCCAAAATACATTCTAAAAGCAGGTTTTAATAACCACAGACACACACACACACACACACACACACACACACACACACACACACACACACACACACACACACACACACACACACACACACACATACCGGCACTTCAGCATCGGTTGCAGAATTATTTTCGTCCATACTTGCTCGCCTGAACATTAATACTACATGACTATTAAAGTGCACTGAGCACCCGGGTGCCAGTGTAAATAGAATGTGGATCGGTTCCTTGGTTACAGAATATGTCCTGATTAAGGTCAGTGCTTGATACATTTAGATCTCCCACAAATGAACACAAAGTTTGTATTTATATAGGTCAATGCATTTGGTCACACTTGTCTCACTCTGTTTCCGTTGTGGTTTGTTTTTGGTGGCTGAAGTCCATGTAATTGCTTTTCAATTCATGCGTTGGCACTTTTACAGTGTCGGTGGGGACTTCATAGTAGTTGTGCAGAACAAAACAAGTATTAATAATGTTTTTGTGTCCAAAGCCGCAAACCGTGACTTCAAACATCTGCTTTTCTCAAACTTCCTTTAAAACAGCTAACGTGGCTGGTCAGTGTAAACATAGCAAAAGACTTCTGCTTTAAAATAGAAACAGTAATGTGAACTTAACCTGACAGCACCGGCAGAGTGACATTTAAAATTTTAGGGAAATGTCTTAATGAAACGAATGGTTCAGAGAGGGTGAAAACGAATGACTTTGCTTAACAATAACCAATCAGGTCCTAAAAATGTCAAGGGCTTTGCAAAACTAATTAAATTCCCATCAGCCTCATCTCTTTGCTAGGTGCTATTTAGCAAATTTGCAATTTAAAACCACTATAAAAGGGTAAAGATGGCAAGCAGTATAACAAGGTTCCCCACATCAATTTTGAATGGAAGTTTGCCATTTTATGAGCAATGCATTGAATTCCGGGTGATAATGGAATTTAAAGTCAGCGGCAAATCACAGCGAGATTGGCATGAGTGTTCTTAAGAAAGGAGATTGTGACCTGTAACCTGCTGAGAAGGATCGTGAACAGAACTGGTAACAATGTGGAATTTATTCACTTGTAGTACCCGTTAGTATCGTTCTGTTCGATAAAAGAGTTGTTACTCGTAGGTGGAGTGAAAAGTTCACACAGTTGTAACTTATTTTTTCAATCATTCTTAAATCACTTCATTTAGCCTAAAACTGTACTGCAACAGATGTTTCTTCCAAAGATACAGCAGGTATACACACTAATAAACAAATTATCTAATGACACAACAGATGAAATCCCTGCCAATTCAAATCAGGTGCCACAACAAAAATAAGTGTAGCAAGACAGCAGCAAAAAATGAATTCTTGAAGATGAACACATCCAGTATGATAAGACAATGATCATAAAAACTTTCTCACAGCGCCTTTGTATTGACACAAAGACACAGCTGGTGACCCGAGAAGACCCCCCCCTCCCTCTGTGCCAGTCTCTGTCCCACACATCACTTTGGGCCAACATCCACAGGCCTCCAGCACAGTGTAATCATACATTCACCACAGAAAAAAGTTCAGAAATAGCTGTGCGAGATACCACAAATGCATGTAGTATGTGAAGCCTCCTCTCTGGTCTCCACCAGCGGGGAAATATTTGCCTCGTTAGCTGATAGTTGCTCCACTATGTTCAGCAGATTGTCACTGTCTGTTGGCTTTTAAAGATCCCGAGGAAAGATGTGACTGTGAACCACATACGCGGTAACTGGCCCCCTCGGATACGGAGAGATGTGTGCGTTAGGGGTCGTCGTGACGCAGGGGTAGAGCGGGTGTGATGGGAACCGCAAGGTTGGTGGTTAGAGTCCCATGGCTGCTCCATGTCCCAAGTCGAAGTGTCCCTGAGCATGCACCTAACCCCTAATTGCTCCTCGGGCAAAAATGTACAAAGCCATGGGTTATAAATGCAATGTCGCTTTGGATAAAAGCGTCAGCTAAATGACCTGTAATGTAATGTGTGATGTGATGATGGTATTTATTGAAATGAAAGTCACTCAAAACTCAATTCAATGTGGAGCTCTAATACAAACTCAGAAAATTATACTTCAACCGGTTCCTCCGCCAACTTACCGGTCTCTACCATCTCCAAGGCCGGAGCCGCGCCCTTCTTTCTACCACACCACATCCTTCTCAGACTGTTTCCCCCGATGGGTTCCTCTGCCTGAGCTTTATCCACCTCTACCTTCTGCACCAGGTTCAGCTTTTCAGAACACCTCCGGCCAAATACTCCTGAGCGAGGTCGCGGAGTCCTCCCACTTCAAGTCGCTTATCGATAAAAAGGAAAGTCAGATCATAAGTCTACTTCCCATTTGCTGTTGTCTAAAGCAGATTGACATCCTTGCAGGTTTTTACATCTCAAAGTACTTGTTTAGTTTAATCTGTCTGCGTATGTCTGACAGAGAAGCTTGCAAGTGTGCAGGGCATAGTAGGTAAAAGATACGTGAAAGAAATTATTGTACCGGTTATAAGTTAAAAAGCTTATGCAAACTGCGTCAAAGAGACTGTGAATAGGTTACTCGAGTTCAAGGAAACACAGCTGCCACCTGAGGCAACAACGCCAGTCTTAATTCTTTGTCACACTCACACATACTCGTAATCTTAAAGTGTAGCTTTGTTTTCCCAATAACTGTTTTAGTACATACCCTACTTTCAATAAATTAACCATGAAGAAGAATGGTTTGTATTTTTGTGAAGATTTCACTGTTTTGTACACTTAATGTTCCTAAATACCTTCAATCTCTGACAATTACAATTGTCAACCCAATTACAAAAAAGTGGGAAGATTCAGTAGGGTTCTGTTCAATATCGTTGTTCCAGTCATTTTAACATCCTCTTAACTCAATAAGTTATATCTATATCATGTGTGTGAAGACACAAGCTTAGAGCTAACGGTACACTGTGTATCGTACGTGTTAACGGTTAAGCTCTATAGTCATGTATTTCCTACAAAGAAACAGTGAGCCAGTCAAAGTTTGACCTTGATTGAATATGACTGGATTAGCAATGACTTTTCTATATTTTTGTTGGTATTTACCTTAAACATTTCAATATGCACCAATAAACTGACAATATGCTGTGTTGTAAATGATTGGATTGTTACGTCCCTAAATTGTCTAGGGGTGGAGGACGCAAACAATGTCAAATAATAAGCCCGGGAGATCTGGACAAACGGCAAAAAAGGTTATTTAATGATGGATGAAATACTCTCAACACAAAGCAACTGAAAACAATCTCCAAAAGGAAGACGATTATGGCTCCTTTGTCACTGGCACAATTCTGGTCTCCAAATTCCTCACGACAGCAGCCAACACGTCTCTGGTCACTCTCTGGCTTGGCACAACCATTTAACCCCTTTCTGATGAGCTGGTCAGCTGCAGCACACCTGAAGAGAATCACACACACACACACACACACGGGCAGACAACACAGCAAAACAAAACACTGCACGTAACATGGATGATGTATGTCTGTCCATCTGTGAAATAAACATGATACATTGTGTTGATTGCATATGTCTCAATAAACATTGTAAATTATTAAACATGTTTGCTTTGAATAAATGTTAAACTAAAATGTCAACAAAAAATAACATAAATGCAAATGATAAAGCCGCCTAAAACTATAATATTTCCGTATGCATGGTTGTGATTGCACAAGAGAAGCTTCAAGATCATTGACTCCATCTAGTGTCAACATAGAGTCTGCATTTAAACATGCAGTTAGGAATGGAGGGAATTGACTGCAGTATTTTAGTATATATTATCACGTATTTCATAACGCACATTACATTTAATACACATGTGCATTTTAGCATTTAATATATTATGTAGAAAAGATTTTTCCACATTGTAGTGCACACTGCAGCAATCTTTCCAAATAACCTCTGTTCTATCGACTGCGCCGTCTGGATGAGATTTAAAATGGTGCATCAGATGCTGTAGATGTATTACTTTCATACTGTAAGTTTACATGACAAGAATTATTGTAATGTGCAATATTACGCTTAAATGATGCACCTGTTGATAAAAGCCACAGACCACAACACCTATCGGTTTCTTATCATAGTGTAATAAAACGTTTTTCAACGTTTTAAAAAAGAATTGGTTTGTTGTCAGACTTACTGCAATGTAAGGCTCTAAAAGAAGATCAAATTAACGCGTTGAACAGTCTCACCAGTCTTCTCAGTTCAAAGCCAACTGACACGCGTAATGGTACATTTCCACTCAGTATATTGCGTAAATGCTTAAGTGCTTGTGTTTTTGCTGTGAAATCTGTTTGGCCTCACTGGCCAAGTCTGTATGTATCTTTCTGTTGTTGCAAAAGACAAATTAACCCATATCTGCAAGCATAGATAAATGTAACTGGTCTGTATGAATGTTCCAACGTCGAAGGTCGTTTGTTGTGTTTGTGTGTTTCCAGCAGTTAGATAACTAATGTTTGTAACAGCCATTGGCCCTCAGCCTTGTGCTCTTTCTGCATAAAGAGCACGCGCTTCCTGAACATCTTGTTCTTCCTTTGTCAAATCCAAATGTGCTTCACGATGTAGCCGCCAAATGCTGTTTATTATCCCTGGCCCTGCAGAGAATAAATACTCCAGACAACTTCTGCTTTTCTATTTAATATAATTAATCACTAATAGACTCGCACAAAGTAGGTATACGATTGAGTCTCCACAGGGTTGCTCAGTGTCTGCACACCATCCTCAAAAGGTTGACGATAAGGGCTCTTCAGTCCCTTTGGTGTCCAATGTGCATACTGAAAGCAT